GTCTCTCTCCATTGAGAATAATGTTGGCTGTTGGTTTTGCATATATACCCTTTGTTACGTTGAGGAATGTCCTTTCTGTTCCTATTTTGCTGAGAGTTTTGATCAGGAATGGGTGTTAGATTTTATCAAATGCTTTTTCTGCATCAATTGATATGATCATGTGGTTCTTTTCCTTTGTTTTATTTATCTGATGGATGATGTTGATTGTTTTTCTAAGGTTGAACCATCTTGCGTACCTGATATGAACTCCACTTGGTCATAATGAATGGTTTTCTCGATATGTTGTTGCAGTCTATTAGCTAGGATTTTGCTGAAGATTTTTGCATTTATATTCATGAGAGAATTTTTTAATTTTGTTTTTTATTTCTTCTGCTACCTAGTATTTCAATGTTTTTAAATTTATTACGGCTTGCTTTGTGACCTAACATATGATCTATCCTGGAGAATGTTCCATGTGCACTAGAAAAGAATGTATATTGTGCTGTTGTTGGGTGAAGTGCTCTGTAGATGTCTATAAGGTCAAGTTGGTGGATTGTATTGTTTAGCTCTTCTGCATCTTCGTTGAGTTTCTTTCCAGTTGTTTTGTCTGTGATTGAAAGTGGTGTATTAAAGTCTCCTACTATGACTGTGGAGTCATTTGTTTTCAATTCTGTTTATTCTGTTTCAAGTCTGATTTATGTATTTTGGGCCTCTTTCATTGGCTCCATAGATATTTGTTATGATTATATCTTCTTTTTCAATTGATCCTTTAATCATTATATAATATCCTTCCTTGTCTTTCATGGTGGTTTTTGTCTTAAAATCAATTTGATCAGAGATTAATATTACCACTCCTGCTCTTTTATGGTTGCCATTTGCTTGGTGTATCTTATTTCCAACCTTTGATTTTTAGTCCTTTTTTGTCTTTGTCTCTAAGGTGTGTCTCTTTTAGAAAGCATATTGATGGGTTATGTTTTCTTATCCAGTCTGCAACTCTCCATCCCTTGAGTGGTGTGCTTAATCCATTGACGTCAGTATAATTATTGATAAGTGTGAATTGGTTGCTGTCATTCTGCTGTGTATTTTTTCATGGTGTTCCTGGTTTCTTTGTTCCATATAATTTTCTGTGCTGAGCTCATTATGTTTATGAATCATGTTATCATTCCTTTGTTGCTATTGTTTTAGTATTTGCTAAATATTTCTGCTTGTCCTCTTTTTTTATTATGATGTGAAGGTTTATCATTTTTCTTTGAGGTTACCCTGTGGTTTATAATTTCTCCCCAAGTTTAGAACAGTCCATGCTACCTTGCAACTCTCTTGACTTCCTTAACATTTAGAAGTTCTGTAACTACACTAATTTTTCCTCTTTTTGATTTGTAGTTGTCCTCATTTGCCAATTGATGTATCTGGTTCCCTGTTTACAATCTTGTAAGCTTATTTTACTTTGGATACTTCCATAGGTATGTTGGTTTCTGAGTTGTGTCATCTTGTACATTAATGTTTGGTTGTTGTTTGCTATTATTGGTTCTCTGTTCAAAGGACTCCTTTAGCATCTCTTGTAAAGTTGGTCTGGTTTTAACAAATTCCCTTTCTTTCCGCTTATCTGGAAATCTCCTTATTTCACTATCATATTTGAGGGACAGTTTTGCTGGGTATATAATTCTTGGTTGGAAATTTTACTTTTTCCTTTGATCTTCCTTATTATTTGATAGCATTGTATCTGGATCTAATTTGCTATCATTGTGATCTTTTCAGGGTTTTATATATACCATCCCATTTCTTCTCACTTGCATGGTTTCTGCTGAGAAATGAGAGCTTATTCTTATTGGTTGTCCTTTTAGATAACTTTTCACTTTTCCCATGCTGCTTTCAGAATTTTTTTCTTTGTCTTTGGTTTCTATGAGTTTGATGATATGTCTTGATGATTTTCTTTTGGGGTCTATCTTGTTTGGGGTTCGTTGGACTTCCTGAATGGATATATTCTCATCTTTCATCATATCAGGAAAGTTCTCTTCCAACAAATCTTGGACAATTTTCTCACTAGTTTTTTTCCTCTTCCTCTTTTGGAATTCCGATTACATGTAGGTTATTCCTTTTGATCGTATCCCACATGATCCTTAGGCTTTCTTCATTTTGTTTTGATATTTTTCCTGATTGATCCCTTTCCAAAGAAATATTCAGATATTTGTCTTCAATCTCATTAATTATGTCTTCCATTGCATCAATTCTACTCCTTTGCCCCTTTCAATGTGTTATCTATTTCTAAAAATTTAGTATTAATCCCCTGGATATCTGTCTGTAGATTTTGAATCATTTCTAATTTTTCATTTGTCACTTTGTTCTTGTATTTTCTTCTGAAATTGTTCTAGGGTTTTGTCTGTGTTTTCCTTAATTTTGTCAATGTTTTCCTTGATCTGTCTCTCAATCCTTTGAAGATGCCTAAGTATAATTCTTTTGAATTCCTTATCAGGGAGTTCCAATGCTGCTTCTTCCTCAGGGGTGTGTTCTGGGTGTGTATCCTGCCCCCTTTTTTTCTACTGCTTTATCTTGCTTCTTTGTGTGGACTGTGATGTTGTTGTCTCTGAGACATTGTGATGTTGTGTTTAGATCTCTGTTAACTATTTGTGGAGCACATTTAAGGGTGAGTCAGGCTTTTCTTGGTGGTCATTTATCATTGGCCAGTTGGTGGTGAAGGAAGTGGTAGCTCTCACTCAGTTAGTAGAGCTGTAGGAGGTTCGGGTGTGGTTGTGTTATATAGGCACTGTTGCTGTCTCCCACTCAGTTAGACAAAAACAACAGTTGAGAAGTCATCAAAAAATAAAAGCAAGTGGACAAAAATCATATCACATAAACACACAGGAACGATCACCAAAAAAAAGAAAAGATAAAAAAAAAAATACCTGCAGTATCTTGAGAGAGGGCAGTAAGAGAAAAGAGGTAGAGTAGGAGAATAATGAAAAAAAGTGGGAATAGTGCAAAAAGAAAAACAAGGAATGGGGAGAACCATGAGAAAGAAAAAAATGGGAACCTGCAACAGGGAAGAGAGAAAAAGCTGAAAACTAGAACCTGGGAAGCTAAGATCAAAAATAATAATCAAAAGGATGAAAAATAATAATAATTGTAAAACAGACAAAAGCAAACAAACTGAAAAAAAAAAAAGGGAAAAAAAATCTGGGGGGGCAGGGCATCCAGGTTCCATGGGAGCGTACAAACTGGGATGGGATTCCTGCTGGCCCAGTAGGTAGATAGGAGTGAGGGATGGCCATACCTCCATTCACCAAAAGGGTGTGGGGTATAAGAGTAATAAGGGGAATATTGTACCTTTCCTGTCATTTGTGTCTGAAATGTCCTTGCAGTCCCCAGCAAGTGGAGCCTATTGTTTGGTCCCTGGAATCTGAGAGAACACTGTCGCTTTAAATATCCAAAATGGTCAAGGGACTTATAAACATTCAAAATGGCTGTACCCTCTGTATAGCCAAAATCCCACATCTCAGCCTGTCTCCCTCTTTACTGCTCCCCTTTTATTCACCAGCAACCAGTGCAGTCCTCTGTGTACCCCTGGCTAGCCGAGCCAATTTTTAGGTTAATTCTTAGGTTCTAACACCACTTGGCAATATCCAAGCTGTCTGTGCCATCAGGATCACTGACAGACCATAGCTCTGTACGTCTCCTTTTTTGGTGTTTTCACACAGGTTCTTCTACTAGTTGGAGTTTAGTCCACTTCTGTATCCTTCCTTTCAAAGCTCAGGGGTCCAGGATTATCTTCTGTATCTGTGTTAACTGGTTCCCCTTTTCTTTGTTGAAGAGGGTCTGTGTAGTTTGTCTGCCTTGCTGCCATCTTACCAGAACTTCCCTAGTATTATTATTTTTGTCTTTGTGCTGCTCCCTTTGAGACTTGGAAGTCCTCTCAGTCAGAATCATAGATTTTTCAAAATCTTTATTCTCCCCTCCTATGCCAAAATTTATGACAAGCACTTGGACAGAGAACAGGTGTTTTTGTGTAACTGGTACTATCTAGTTCAGCAATTCCAAGTACAAAATACAGTCACTTACCTTTTGTGGCCACATGATGTCACTGTTAAAGACCAGACCTGTGCAGTTCAGTGCATTGCTCAAAGTGTAGTCTGTGGACTAACAAGCTCCATCCCTTGGGAACTGGTGAAGGTATAAATCTCTAAGTTCTATCCCAGATCTGCTGACTTAGAGACTTAGAGTCTCTGGGGGTGTAGCAGGAGTCCTGGTTGTGCAGTGGTTAAAGCACTCATCCGCTAACCAAAAAAGGTTGGCGGTTTGAACCCACCAGCCACACCACAGGAGAAAGATGTGGTAGTCTGCTGCCATAAAGATTTATAGCTTTGGAAACCCTATGGGGGAAGTTCTGTTCTGTCCTAAAGGGTGGCTATAAATTGAAATTGACTTAATGGCAGTGGTTTGGTTTGAATTTGAGGGTATAGCCCAGAAATTTGGCTGCTTTTTTAAAAATTGACATTTACATAGTATAAAATTAACTATTTTAAAGTACACAATTCAATGACACTTATTATATCATAATGTTGTGCAACTATCACCTCTGTCTAGTTCCAAAATAATCTTATTACCCCAAAAGGAAGCTCCTTACCCATAAGACAGTCACAGCCCATGCTCCCCCCATCTACCAGCCCCTAGCAGCCATGAATCCAATTTCTGTCTCTCTGCATTTACTAGCAGTCAGTCTGGGTAACTCAAGTTTAAGAGGCACTGCCTAATGGACACTTCACTCTGCATTGGTGCTGCTCTACTTTTACCAGGCCAGACCCTGCCCACAGCACTGTAGGGTGTCACATATGGGCTTCAAGGCCACAGCTCTCAGTGTTCACTCCACACCCTCTGCCATCATTCCCCAAAGCCCCAGAAAGTCACAGGCCATCTCACCCCAGAAGTGGATGGGGATGACATGATTAAAATTACACATCTCTAGATGCCCAATAGCTAAATGACCCAGGGGTGTCCACCTGATAGCCCCTAATCTCTGCTCCTCACAGGTCCTGCCTGACTACCTAAAGGGCCTCTTCAGTAGCATGCTGCCCAGCCAGCCCAGTGAGCAACAGCTGCAGCAAGTGTCCAAGCTGGCCTTACTGCAGCACCGCACTAAGGACCGCTTCTACCTGCCCAATGTGTAAGCACTTCCCAACAGGCTACCCACCCATCTATCAGCTGGAATGGACAGCCAGCCCTGCCCTCTTTCTCTGGATGTTTTTTATCCTGCCCATCCCCAGTCCCTCATTCTCCCCTCTTGTACCAACGACACTGTGTGGGAGGGGCCTGTCTTGGCCTTAGGGCTGAAGTCCGCTAACTACTTGTGATCTGAGACCCCAACTTCCTTTTCATGACAAGTTGCTTCTGACCTATATTAATAGCTCAGAGTAAATTTAATGATAAAAAAAGTTTTCAGGACATGCACACCCTGTGGTCCAGGAAGTACACATGGCTATGCAGCAAGAGTTAAGAATCTCTGGTGGCGCTCTGATTAAGGTATTATTAGTCTGCTAACCAGAAGATCAGTGGCTCAAACCCACCAGCCACTCTGTGGGAGAAAGACAAGGCAGTCTTCTTCCATAAAGATTTACAGCCTTGGAAACCTTATGGGGGTCGCTATGAGTCGGAATCAACTCGATGGCAGTGGGTTGGGTTTGGTTTTTGGTTAGGCAGCAAGATTGAGCCACAGGATGTTCATAGTGGCATCGCCCACAACAGTATAATTTTGGAACCAATCTCAATATCCAACACTAGATGATTAGTTAAGTAACTTACGGGAAGTCAGGCAGCCTCTAATATTGATGTTCTCAAAAATGTGATATATGCTAATGGTGTAAAATCGGTGGTTTATAAACTTTTGGGCTCCAGACCAAAAGTTTTTATTTCTTAAAAATAGGACTCCAAAGAGATTTTGTTAATGTAAGTTAAACCTATCAATATTTACCCTATTCAAAATTAAAACTGAGGAAAAGTTAAAATATTAATTTATTTTAAAATAATAATAAACCCATTGTGTGTTAATATAAATAACATTCTATGAAAATAACTATTTTTTAAAATAGAAGAGTGGCACTGTATTACATTTTGCAAATCTCTTTATGTCTGACTTAATAGAAGACAGCTGGATTCTCAAATCTGCTTCTTCATTCAGTCTATTGTGATATAACCTGTCATGTAGCCTCCAGAAAACTCCATTGTACATTCGTGAGAGAAGGAGAGTGAGCAAGGCAAATCACATCCCTTAGTGTTATGAAAGTGGCTCTGACCTAGAGCCTTGACCACACTTAGAGAGCCTCTGGTGTAAATAACAGTAAATGAAATAATGTGTGTGTAGTGTATACCCCAGTGCCTGTAACACAGTAAGGGCTCAAATGTAAAGCATCTCTGTTATGATTTTAAGTAGAAAGAGCAAGATAAAATGCTGGATAAAAATATTCATTGAGTTCTTACTTTTTTCAGAGTATCCTACATGCCTGATCTCAGATAATTTTCCAAACCGCATAGTTTTCCCCTAATACAGATATGGAAAGTGAGGCTTAGAGAGGTTACCTGGCTCACCCAGGTTTACCTGGCTAATAGTTGGGGGAACCAGGATCCAATCCTGGGGAGGTCAGACCCCAACTGTGTAAGGACCAGAGGAGAGATGTTGCCTGGGGGATCTCTCCCTGAGGCAGTTTCCTGACTTTCTCCCAGTCCTTCCTCACTCTGTGGCTCAAGGCAGCCAGAATAGGCTGGGTTGCTGCTATTTTCTAGGTGGCCAGAGAAGGAAAGGGGCTGCCTGAGAGGGTGAGTGTATGTTAGAGAGAAAGAGGTTGAAGCTGGACACTGAGCACCCCCCTCATAAGATCTGACCCCTTCTCTCACCACTGTACCCTGGTAGTTTCCCCACCTTTGTGCTTCTCATCCTTTGCCTTGAGCTTCTCCTCAAGGGCAAGAGCTACTAAGGACAAAGCTGCCTCAGAGTCAGATCTTGGCTGCCTGATGCACTCAGCTGTGCTGTGTGACCCTGGGCTGATCAGTGAACTCCTCAGAGCCCCAGTTTTCTCAACTGCAAAACAGGGATGCTAATGGTACTGGCCAATGGTTATTGAGTCCCTACTGCATGCCAGGGCCCTGTGTGAGCACTTATTATGCTGACCTTCAGCGCATCTACACTCCCCAGCATTGAATCTTTGAGGGAGGTGGTGGATACTCATGAAGGCTTTCCTTCCTCACCCAGGCGGGAGGTCCAGGAGTACATCCCAGCCCAGCTCTACCACAAAACAGCCGGCTCCACCTGGCTCAGCCTAGTCAGCCAGCACTGGCAGCAGACACAGGCACTCAGCCCCCACCAGGCCCGTGCCCAGTTTCTGGGTAAGAGTCTGGGGCTGGGCATGGGAGGCACCAGAGCTTGTCAAGGTCCTGGAGGATGGGAGTGTGAAAAGGCATTCCATGGGAGACTCAATGAACAAAGGCTGGACGAGGGTTAATTAGGGGGTGGTTAGAAGAGTGTGACTGAATCTTGGAAAGAACTTGAATCTAGGCCCAGGATTTTACCCAGAGGGCATTGTGGAGCCAAGGAAAGACTTAAACAGGGAGAGGGGCCCAGATGGGTTTACATCTGGAGGACAGAAGCCCAGGTACCAGAATGAAGGTCACTGCAGGTTTCCAGGGTGGAGAAGATGGAGGCTGAACTTGGGATGGAGTCCCAGGGACATAAAAGGTGGATAGGTCAAGAGACCCTCAGAAGGAAGAATAGACATGCCATAGTGAGAGCTAGGGTAAAGGAGGGAGGGCTGGAGAAGGGCCCCACTAACCAACTTGAGCTCCTTTGAGGATGGCAAGGTCACCAAGCAGAGGATAACAGGAAGGGAGCAGATGTGGAGGGAGGGCCTGTGGGTCACTGGAGACGGCTGGATCAGAGTTTGAAGCATGGTCTGGGCTGGAGTGCTGGGAATCCTTAGTGAATAGAGATCTTTATAGCCATGGGAGTGGGGAGGGCCACTGTGCACAGTGGTGCAGGCAGACCATTGCACAAGGGCTGCACCTGACTGAGTAGCAGGGTGGCTTGGGTCTAGTTCACCTAGGGCTGGGACTGCTCAGAGGAAGGTACCCCTAGAGAGGGCATCTTTTTTTGCTTCTCCTATCCACAGGAGGTACATTTTTCTTTGCACGAAGGTATTGTAAGTGCCAGCTGAGTACCTGCTTCAGGGTGGGCCTGGGCATAGAAAGCTGGAAACAACAGAGAGGAACTATGAGCAGGAATGGAGGGAAAGGCCCAGACTGGAGGCCAGAGAGGTGGGAGGAGCCAGACTGAGGACTCCTGTGCCACATGCTGCTGAGGGAAAAGGTGGCCATGGCTGTGGCTGTGACCTCTGCCCATCTAATAACCATCACTCCCATCTCCTTACCCCAGGCCTCCTCAGTGCCTTGCCCATGTTCGGCTCCTCCTTCTTCTTTATCCAGAGCTGCAGCAACATGGCTGTGCCAGCACCCTGCATCCTTGCTGTAAACCATAATGGCCTTAACTTCCTCAGCACTGAGACCCACGTGAGTGGCCCCGGCCCAGCACCACCTGGCACCCTCTTGAGGGGCCAAGATCACCACTTCCCACCTGTGTGACCTTGGACAAGTCTCTTCCTCTCTCTGAGCGTGACTTCCTGCTCTGGAAGATGGGGATGATAGGCCCACCTTCTAGGGCTGCTGTGAGTTAGCACTCAAGTGGAACTGTTACCTCTTTTTAGACCTGTCCTCCAGAAGCAGGGCCTGAGACAAAGACAGCTGTGCAAGTGGTTTATTTGGAGGTGATTCTAGAAAATGCTGATGTGAGGGAGTGACATGGCAGGGATAGAACCAGTAAAGGTTGTGCTACCAAGCACACACTATCTTGGAGCTCAATCTAGCTCAATCTGGCTGGAGACCTTTGGGAGACAGTGTAGAACTGTACCTCTGCACTATTAAAACCAAGGAGGAGATAATCTCAACAATGGGGTATTACCCACAATTTATTTGGCTGCCTGTAGTCAAGGGCTCCTTCCTGAGGCCTTAACTATATCTAGATTGTCCAGTATGTAGTCTGAGACCAGAAGTAAAGCCCTCAGACAAAGTTATAAGTATTCATAAGAGGTAACAATGATTGGTAGAGGTGAAGGTCAGGGCACCAACAGTATCTACCATGCCCGTATACCCCCAGCATTACCAGTGTTGCTTCTATCAGTTTCACAGATGAGGAAATTGAGGCCAGGAGAAGTAAAGCAACTTGTTCAAGATCACACAGCACAAAACTGGGGAACTGGTACTCAAACCAGGGTCACCTGCCTTCTAAGCTGATTTGGAAGGGAGAGGGAAAAATGATTGAGAGCCCTAGGCCACAGAGGGAAGGTCCACACACACAGCCTGTCTCACCTCCTCCCCCGACTCGCAGGAGCTAATGGTGAAGTTCCCTCTGAAGGAGATCCAGTCAACCCGGACCCAGCGGCCTACAACCAGTTCCAGCTACCCTTATGTGGAGATCTTGCTGGGGGATGTGGCAGCCCAGCATACTATGCAGCTGCAGCTGGAGCAGGTACCTATTACCCAACCTCTCACTCATTCATTCAACTTACATTCACCAGGGTCAGGTCCTGGCCATGATTCCAAGGAGGGTGAAGCCCAGTACAGGCAGAACCGAACCCAACACTGCACACAATACCAGTCGTTATGGGGTTTTTTCAGGGAAGCATCTTGCTAGGGGAACCACAGGAAAGGGTCCAGGTTATTTGCAGAATAGTGAGGAGTGGTCAGGGTTCTCTGTATGCACAGCCAGGGCAGAGCAGATCTTAAAGGGCCCTGGATGTCAAGCTAAGGATCTGGGGCTTTCCCTTGAGAGCACTAGGGAGCCACAGAGGGCTGGTGAGTGGGAGGGACACAGGAGGTTTGAGGGAGTTCACCTGGGTTAAGGCAATAGACGTTGGGTTGTGGAGCCTGGGACTGAGAATGGAGATGGTGGGGTCTCTATGTGACAGACAGGGAAATCTATCTCCTATCCAAGCCTCACAAGGAGCTCTGGTAGCATAGTGCCTAAGGCACTTGACTGCTAACCAGAAGGCTGGAGTGTCAAACCCATCAGACACTCCTAGGAAGGAAGGTTGGGCAATCTACTTCCGTGGTGATAACTGCCTTGGAAACCCAAGGAGAGGTCACTATGGGTCCAACTCAACGGCACATAACAACAGCAACAACAATCCAAGCCTAACAACTCAGGGGACGGATAGATAGGACTAGTTTTCACCCCATTGTAGAGATGGGGTCAATGCCCAGAGAAAGGATAGAATTGAGGCTGGGACCCACACTGCCTACCCTGTCTAGCCACTTGAATCCTGTCTCAAGATCTAAGCCAACATCCCCTCATGCCCCAATGCTGGGGCCTGCCTGGGAGGGGCTGATTTCCCAGAGAGAGAGAGAGAAAGAGGTTTTCACTTTCCCAGTCCTGAACCTGGGGGTAGGGCCAGAACAAAGTCCCTTCACCCCTCTGAGATCTGCTTCCCTTCATGTTTTAGCCCTGCTCCTGCTGAGAGCCACCCAGATCCTTGACTTACACCTGAAGAACACTGGGCACCGGCAGCCCTGCTGCCCTATGCCCTCCCCCCTAGAGTCCCACTGTTGTTGTTGTTATGTGCCATCGAGTCAGATCTGAATCATAGCGACCCCTCCTTGGGTTTCCGAGGCAGTATCTAGGCCCTCCCATGTCATCCTCCTACCTCCCTGGCCTCCCGTTCTTTGTCTCCATTTCCTGCATCTCTGCAGTGGATGATCTCTGAATGTTGCTGAGTCTGGGCCTGTCCCCCAGGGCACCCTGTCTGGTTCTGAGGCTTTCAAAACTTTCTGGACCATGACTGCCCTGTACATCTCTCTTTTGCTTCAACCCTAAATTCCAGGTACCTTGGCATCTTCCCAGAGGCCAATAGGCCTCTGCATCTTACCTCCTGATCCCCATAAACCTGCTTCTCCCCTTTGTCCCATCCTCTCCAGCCTCCCAGACAGACCGCAAACCCAGGAGTCCTTCCCATTCCTCTCCCCTCCTCTTGTTATCTCTGTAGACTCCTGCCCCTTTCCTCTGCTTACCTTGTTCCAGGCCTCCCAGGCCTCTTCAAGTTGTCTTAGGCAGAGCTTTCTCTCCCAAGCCCTGCCCCAGGCCCTTTGTACTCACTTCCTGAAGCCTGGAATGCTCCCCTCTTATTCATCACAGGACTCCATCTCTCCCTTTATTCAGGTCTCAGCATCACGTTGTGAGAAATGGTCCTTGGCCCTCTTCCCCAGTAATTCACTCTGTCTGCTTACATGTTGTCTGTTTCCCTCCTAGAATGTCAGCCTCCCAGGGCAGGTTAATGTCCACAGTCTTCCCCTCACCCCCATGTCCATGCCACATGGCTGGTGCTGAGGTTGATGAGTGTATAGAGGCTTCTTCTCTTCCTTGTAGCTTCCTGACCTTTTTATGCTGCCACCTCTGCCTTTGGCCTGTGTGTTTTAAGGACGTATTCACTCACTCATTCATTCACCAACTCACTCAACACAGAACAGGTGAGCATCTCCATGTAGCAGGCTTTGCACCAGCTGCAGGGGTACTGAAGTGACTGGGAACCTTAAGCCTTGACCCTCAGCCCTCACCCGCAAAGAGCCCTGAGTCTCATGGGGGAGATGAGCATGAAGGACTCTCTGTAATAAACCGTGATCAGTACTAGGATGGTCTACAGGGGAACTCTGCTAGCTGGGAAGTCATCAGGAGGGCTTCTAGGAGGAGGTGATATCAGAGTCCAGTGGCCACTGCAGCTAACAAACCTGAGTCCCCATCCTACCTGCCTCTGACAGTTTGTGTGAGGGGATCTCAAGCTATTTCTGCTGCTTGTTGAGCCTCAGTTTCCATACCTGCCATAATCCCAGTGAGGCCTGGAACATAGCCCGTGTTGGGCAGGCAATGGATGGTTGGAGGAAAGGACCCCCACCATGAACATGCATAGATAGATCTAGGTTCCCCTGATCTAATTAGTTGAAGTGGCCCCCCAGGGCAGGAGCAGGGGCAGATACAGCAAACCTCACCAAGAGCAGTTTAAAATGTGACCTTGGGCTTTGTATCTCTTGGGTTCAAATTCCTACACCTATCAGTTTTGAGATCTGGGGCAAGTGGCCTCCCTTCTCTGGGCCACAGTTTCCTCGCCTAGTGAAATAGGGATATAGTCGTGCCTGCCTCATCGGGATACCCTGGGGATTAAATGGGGATAATGCGCTACTGTCATTATTTTTACCCTCTCAAAGAGACCTACTCTTGGCCCCCAATCCCTAGGGGATTCTGACACTAGCTTTGATCTGAGAACCACGCTCCCAGATCAATTTTCCTCCATTCTTTTCTGCCTTTCTCCAACTGGGAACTCTGAGGCTGGCTACGGCTCCTCCTAGACTGCGGTGCCAAGTGGTAAGCATGGCAAAACAGAAACAGAAACAGTGATTATTTATTGATTGGGTTCATATTAAAAGTTAATGTTAATTTATTAATATTAATATTTGTTAATATTAAAGGATTTATACATAATGAAATCTCATTTAATCATCTCAACAACGCTGTGAGGCAGGCCCTAGTAAACTGAGAGGTGACAGATTAGGACACTGAGGTTCAGGGAGGGGAAGTGACTGGCCCAGGTCCACTCATCTTGCCAGCATAGAGCCAGTGGATATACTTCCCCCCTCCTCCAGGCACTAGCCCTTCCAGCCTGTGGCTGACTCTCCCACTTCCTTGTTCCTTATATTCCTCCAGGGCCCTGGGGAATGGATGGGCTGGTACAGACTCTGTCTCTTGCAGGGTCTGGAGCTGTGTCGGGTAGTAGCTGCCCACGTGGAGAACCTACTCGGTGCCTGTGAGAAGCGGCTCACGCTGCCCCCCAGTGAGATCACCCTGCTCTGAGTCGCCCTGACTTCCAGCTGCCTTTTGTCAGAAGACTGGGTATCTGTAAGGGGCCAGGTCCCTGGAAGAAGCCAAAAGGAGGAGCCACCCAAGTCCCCAAGACCCCTTGAGGACCAGTCCAGAGTTCAGATGGAGTCACAGCATGCAGCCAATCAGAGGGAACTTCCAAGGGCTGTCTCATGGTGCAATTGAGCAGAAAGCAGGACCTTGGGGCCTCCTGCCACATACCCACTGCAGGTCCTACCCAGACTCCCACCTGTGTGGCAGGGAAGCCTTACATCAGTGACCTAGATAAACTGGACTTTGCCTTTTGTTTACTCAGGGTCTGTTGTGTGAAATCTGCTTGGGTTCCATATTTCAGCCCCCTGCATCTTCCTAGGTGGCCCCCTTGGCCTCCCTTTCAGCCTGGATGTGTGACCCTTGTCGTTTCTGTGCAAATAAATAAAAGGTGTACTCAGCAGCCTTTTCCTTCAAGGAGTTGCGAAGTGGCTGGGAAGCAAGCCTGAGGCAAGAGGCAGGAGTTGGGGAGCTCAGTTGTACCCTTGACTTACTGCCCATGAATGTACCCTTGACTTACTGCCCGCAAGATCCCCACTCTTTACCCCATAGGTGACTCCAACACCAGGCCCCCATTGGCCACACAAGGTTCAAGAGTGGTATAGTAAACAGAGGGAGAAGTCTGAAAAAGAGCTTCCCAGAGAATGGGACATTTGGTTTTTGAAGGATGAGGAGGAGTATGCTAGGGATAGAGGAAAGGAGGATGAACAATCCAATAGACTTCGGCCAAGACTCAGAAAGTGGAATTCCAGGTAGGTGTGGGAGATCCAGAACAGAGGTAACCAGCCTCCAGGGTGCCTGGCCCATTGTGTGGGAGAACAATAGAGGAAGAATAATTGATTGTCAAAGCCTGAGACAGTTACACTAGTGAAGTCCTAGGGTTCCAAATGGGTGTGGTGGGAGGTACCATGATGCCTGGACACTCAGAAGGAACAGAAAGGACATCATTGCTGCCCCATGTGGGACAGGAGGCTGGACCCAGCCAGGTTCCAACATCCACATATTCATCCTCCTTGCTTCCTCCCATCAGGGATACTTCTTCCTGCCTAGGACCCATAAGCCTCTTAAGGTAATTTTGGTCTAATGGTTGAAGGCCCAGACTATGGAGCCAGAGAGGCCTGTGTTCAAATTCAACCTGTTTCTTGATGAGCTGTGTGGCCCTGGGCAAGTTGTTTGCCCTCTCTAAGCTCCTGCTTAGGAGCTCTAGTAGCATAGTGCCTAAGGCACCTGACTGCTAACCAGAAGGCTGGCAGTTCAAACCCACTAGGGAGGTTGGGCAATCTACTTCCGTAGTGATTCTGCCTCAGAAACCCAAGGAGGGGTTGCTATGAGTTGGGTCTGACTCAACGGCAAATAACAAGAAGCTTCTGCTTCCTTTTTTGTAAACAGACAGAAGCTTTCAGGCAAGTGCTTGCTAAGTGGTGATCATTAGGTCCTGCAAGGGATGCCAATGGGTATCTGAGGTGGGTAAGGTCTGAATATACATATTTACATGATACATATATGTATCATATATATATATAGACATATATATATATATATATGATATATATACATGATCAAGATGTTAATGTAGCTCTGCTGGTGCAGTGGTTAAAGCAATTGGTTGTTAACCAAAAGGTTGGTGGTTCAAACCCACTAGCTGTTCCACAGGAGAAATTTGAGGCAATCTGCTTCCATAAAGACTTGCAGCCTACTCTGTTTTACTCTGTCCTAGAGGTTCACTATGAATTGGAATTGACTAGATGGTTTTTATCAAGCTTTTACTATATTCCAGGCACTGTACTTTACATGAAGTAACTATTTAATCTGCAAACCATCCCCAACAAGGTGGGTACTATTGTTGTTGTTGTTATTTGCCATCGAGTCAGCCCTGACTCATAGCGAGTTTTCGAGGCAGTGTCACTACAGAAGTAGGATTGCCCAACCTTCCTTCCGAGGAGTGGCTGGTGGGTTTGAACCGCCAGCCTTCTGGTTAGCAGTCAAGTGCCTTAGGCACTATGCTACCAGAGCTCCTGGGTACTATTAGTATCTCCATTTTATGTATGAGGAAACTAAAGCCCAGAGAGGTGAAATGACTTGCCCAAGGCTATGCAACTAAATGGCCTAGTGAACATTTAAACCGAAGCAGGCTACCTCCTGAGTCTAGGCTTTCCCTCACTAAGGCTCACAGAGGCAAGGACTCCACCTCAAGAGCACACAGTCAGGGAGGAACACATAGAAGCTTCCCGTGGGGGTCTGGAATGCAAGGGGCTGCCTCAAACTAGACGAGGTGATCCTCATTTTTGCCTGGATGAGTAGAGCTGGGCTCCATAGGGGAGGCTCTGGGAGGGCTTTCCGAGTATGAACATAGCGAGCTCCCTGTCATGCAGGTATGTGTGTACAATCTGATGCCCTCCTTTTGGAGGACAGTTTAGAGGGGGTGGTGGGCATTACGCTTCTGACCTCACAGCCAGTCCCCCCTCAAAAAAAAAAAAAAAAAAAATGCAGGCAAGGGGCCTGCACAGTGGTTCAGAGACTGGCCCTGGCAAGACTGGGGCCAGGGGCCAGGCTAGCTTGCCTCACTCAACCTTGCTCACTGGTCACTTTCTTCCTACCTGCCTGCAGCTGCCTTGCTAGTACCCTCCCCCACCTCACCCCACCCCCACTAGGCTGTGTCTGAAAAGGGCAAAAACAAGTTTACTGCAGGCTTCATGCCTGCCCTGTTTTCTCTTGAAACTGCTGCTGCTGATTGGGATAGAGGTGGCCAGGTGGGAGTGCTTGGGGACTGCCAGGGTGTTAGATGTCTGGACATTCCCATCTCTGGGGGCTTTGCTAGCCTAGCATAGCCAAGTCACCACTCAACAATCCCAACTTTCATAGTTTACAGATGGGGAAACTGAGGCTGAGGCTCAAGGTAATTGATCCCCTCTGCTTAACGATGTTGTTAGCTGTTGTCCAGTGTGTCCCCTGACTCCTAGTGACCTTATGCAAAACAGAACACTGCCCAGTCCTGTGCCATTCCCATGATTGGTTTTGGGTGGGACTGTGGTGATGGGTTTTCACTAGCTTTCAGAAATAGATTGCCAAACCTTTCTTCCTCGTCTCTTTTTGGAAGCTCTGCCGAAACCTGTTCAGCATCATAACAATGTGCAAGCCTCTACAATAAACATGGCTGGGCATGAGGTAGGAGAAATTTACCACTGAGCCACCAATGCACCCCTTACCCCTTAACAATATCATCTTATTTCATCCTCACAAGCACCATGTGAGGTGGGTACTCAATCCCCACTTTACAGACCATAAAACTGAGGTTCAGAGTGAGGACCAGGGTCTTATAGCTCATCAGGAAGTCAAAACTCAAACCTATGTCTTGTCTGATCCCAGAGCTCATGCTTTTGCTGACAAATCGGGGTGGTGTGTTTGTGTCACTGGCCGGGAGAAAAATGTCCAGGAAAGTGAGGCTGAAAACACAGAATCCAGATCATGAAGGCTAAGATGCATTTCATTTAAAGAGGAATGTGAGGAGGCTGCTAGATGTTAGAGGTGAGCTGGGCCTCAAAGAATCAAAGTGAAGCAGATATGTAGACGATAACTGGCAGTCTAGGTGGAACAAAGAGCTCAGGCAAAGATCAGGAGGTTAGACAGGGCATGTTTGCAGACCTAGTAGTGTTAACAGAAAAGCTAGACTCAGCATAGGGAAAAGAAGGACCAAGAGTCAAAGCTGGAAAGGGTCTTGAACAGAGGCCTTGAACGGCAAGGCAAAGAAAATCAAAAAACCAGTCACTGCCATCCAGTGGATTGTGACTCTTGGCGACCTCCTGTGGATATCCGAGTTGGTAAATCTTTACAGAAGGAGATTGCTCAGTCTTCCTTCCGCGGAGTGGCTGGTGGGTTTGAACCGCCAATCCTCTAGTTAGCCATCAAATGCCTTAGACGCTACGCCACCAGAGCTCTCCTAAAAAAAAAAAAGTCAAAGCACTTGGACTTTATCCTGGGGAGCCACGGAAGGCTTTCGAGAAGCCGCTACTTGTTGGACCCGCCGGCGCATCCCAATTGCCAAGCCTTTTCTCACGCTGTGCCCCCTGCCCGACTGCACTGCTTCAAAACTTTTGATTCCCCATAGCGATTATATTTCCCCCTTATTCGTGCGCCCACTCGTTCCCTTGAGATTTTTCTCTTGTCGGTTCTTGAAGAGACGGCCATAACCGCCGCCGTCCGGAGAACAGCGTCGTCGACCACCGCCCCGCCCGTCTCCACCCCGCCCCACCCCAGGCACGCTCCCGAGGCTGCGCACTCGTCCACCGCCGACGGGACGTGACTCGGGAAACGTCCGCTCCCAGCCTCAGCGGAATCGGGAGGGTTACTCAACACAAGCATATGCAGCTTCTGTGGCTGCTGCCATCTGGCCTCAAAATTGGGGCCCGGTGCTCTCAGCCCTCAGTTTGAGAAGTTTTCGCTGGTTTCAGAAGTTTCCTTAAATGTCCTGAAAGCTTTCCTACAGTGAAGCCTTTATTCAGGCACTTACTTAGCCACCCGTCACCCTTCACCGGTCCTCGTCGCCCTCCCCGCTCCACGTTAAGTGACTGACGCAGTAGCCACGGCGATCGCCTGATTGACAGACATGGTTACCAACCGACTAAAGGATGGTCCCGGCTGGGCCCGCCCGGTGCACTGCCGGCAGCCCAATTAAAGGAGCGGAAGCACCAAAGGGGGCGGTAACGGAGCAGCCGAGGTTGTGGCGGTTCCGTGGTGGTTGCGCGTTAGGGACTGAGGCGTCTACGAGTTTTTGGACCATGCCGTGAGACAGCATAGCGACAGCCTTGTCAGCGTGAGCGCACTACTGCGGATGAAGGCATTCTAACGCTGAGGCGGCGCGGTGTCCAGGCAGGGTGCTATTTAAGGGCGCTCCCTCGAAGCCCTTCAGCGGGTGGGGGAGGGGCGGCGGACGACTAGCGGCCCTTTGTGCGCCTGCGCTGTTACCTCCGCCGGTCGGCCCATACTCCCGCGCATGCCCAGAGTGCCCGGGGGCCAGCGGCGGCTCTCTACACTGCGCCTGCGCGTTTGGGAGCCCGCTGAAGAGCGGCGCTGACGGACGTCGGGCGGGAGGCCCGTGACGTCGTGAGGAGCGCGTTAAAGTGCGGCCCGGGCCGTGTGTCCGAGGGTCCGGCTGGGAGTCGGTCCGTGCCCCTGCAGCAGCCCCCGCGGCATGAGGCGTGGCCGGCGCCCCTGCCCCCCGGGACGTGGAGAAGGTGGAGGAGGAGGACGCCCCGTCGCCGCCGCCGCTGCATGACCTGCCGCCTCTGAGGCCCGACCCCCCTCCCGGCACCTCGACGCCTCCCGCCGGGCCCTCTGGCCACGCATGGGGGCCCGGCGCTGAGGAGCGCTCCTCTCCGGGGGCGCCGGGGCACGTCCCCCGAGGGCCATGCGCGGCAGACCTGCCCGCCCCAGAGGACCCTAGAGAGCGGCGTGGGGCCATGGCGGCCGCCGGCGGCTACACGGACCTACGTGAGAAGCTCAAGTCCATGACGGCCCGGGACAACTACAAAGCAGGCAGCCGGGAGGCGGCGGCCGCCGCTGCCGCTGCTGTAGCTGCCGCCGCTGCCGCCGCTGCAGCTGCCGAGCCCTACCCGGGGTCTGGGGCCAAGCGCAAGTTCCAGGAAGACTCGGACCCGGAGCGCAGCGACTACGAGGAGCAGCAGCTGCAGCGGGAGGAAGAGGCGCGTAAAGTGAAGAGCGGCATCCGCCAGATGCGCCTTTTCAGTCAGGACGAATGCACCAAGATCGAAGCCCGCATCGACGAAGTGGTGTCCCGCGCCGAAAAGGGGTTGTATAACGAACATACGGTGGACCGGGCCCCGCTGCGCAACAAGTACTTCTTCGGTGAGGGCTACACGTACGGCGCCCAGCTGCAGAAGCGTGGGCCCGGCCAGGAGCGCCTCTACCCCCCGGGAGACGTAGACGAGATCCCCGAGTGGGTGCACCAGCTGGTGATACAGAAGCTGGTGGAGCACCGCGTCATCCCTGAGGGCTTCGTCAACAGCGCCGTCATCAACGACTACCAGCCCGGTGGCTGCATCGTGTCGCACGTGGATCCCATCCACATCTTCGAGCGCCCTATCGTGTCCGTATCCTTCTTTAGCGACTCAGCCCTCTGCTTCGGCTGCAAGTTCCAGTTCAAGCCTATCCGAGTGTCCGAACCAGTGCTTTCCCTGCCAGTGCGCAGGGGGAGCGTGACTGTGCTCAGGTAACTATCTGGGAGGAGCCCGTGCTTTGTACTGACTTGACCCATTTTTCTGTTTGTAGATTGAGGGAGTGGGGGAAAAGGGCCTGTGCCACTTAAAACATGGATAGCAAGAGTCAAAGAGCTGTATCTTCGAGGTAGGTTTGACGAAATCATGTTATTTGACTGGGAAATAATCTAAAGGCATTTTTTCCAGAAGGCAGTGAAAAGGAAGTGAAGATTTTAGGCACCTCCTTCCCTGTATTATTTTAAGCAAATCACTTTTACATTTTGGGCCTCCCATTTCTAAATGTGTTTTGAAAAAGAAAATTGAGTTGGACTTAACTATCTTGAAATGCTATTGCTGGTTTTCTTAACAGAGGAAATGTTTATGGATTCCTTAACCCAAGAAAATACAGAAAGAGGCCCCTGAGAGTATTTAATTGATGCACAGTCTCCATTCCCAAGGGAAGGAGTGACTTCCCTGGAGTTGCACAGATCAGTGGTTGGGCTAGGAATAGAGTTCAGCACATTCTTAAAATTCTCCCCTCTTGGCTGCAGAAGAGCCCACTGGGTCTTTTAAGAATATGTTACCTATTTTCAGGACTGAGTAGAACAAAGTAGTTGGTGTCTTGACCTGGCATGTAGCCTTATAGTTATGTCAGTAGCAGAACTTAGATTCTTGGCCTATTCTGGGTCCCAGATCTTGCTGAGAGTTAACTCAGTGCCCTGGTTCCCAGAGAAGAATGCCGGCTGGAACATCTTTGTTTATATGGAGCAGAAAATTTATTTGAAACTTACTTCTTTCCAGCCTTGAAACAGGTAAACATAAGTAATGCCTAAAACTTCTTAGGAGATCTAGACTATGCAGCTGTCCTGAGCAGCTTCATTGGCCACCCCAACCCCTGAATTAAAGTATGGGATCAGGACACACTGAGGTTTTGTTATGAGCAGCTTAATCTCTGAAGTGCAATCAGGGCAGACCACAGTCAGGGTTGGGTTGGGTGGGAACAGTCCCTGGAGCCCTCTTCATATTATGGAGCAAGTTCTTTATCTCATTTGAATTAGACAGCTGAGGCTGCTTCCTTGTTTGGAGATAGGGCAGAGCCTTGTGATGTCCGTTATCTCCTGATGGGAAAGTCTGGGATGTTGGAGGCAACAGAACAGTACTTTGGCTTCCATGTGCCTCTGAAACACAGCAGGTGCCTACCTCAGGAACCCACAGGGCCCCTTACCAGTCAGGTGCCTCCTTGTCATTTGGCTTCAGAGCTCCTCAGATCTACATGGTATTTCCAGGGTGACATCTGAGCAGTGTCCTTTAAGATGGGATTTCTAGGACAGACCCTCCCAAGAGGCTTGCTGTACAGCAGGTTGGTGTCTTTACTCCATTGAAGGACTGTCAGTGCTGAAAGGACTCATAAGGACTATTTGATCTCCTAGTTAGATATTAATTTTTCACATAGTCACAGGCCCTCAGAATTGTTTTCAGGAGGTGGAACAGTGGCCAGGTATGTAATGGGGAGATCAGGAAAGACAGTTTGTGACTTTGACCCCACCCCCAAGCACACAACTGCTGTATTGAAGAGCAGACATTTCAGTCTTAAGATGTAGGTCTGTTAGTGATCAGCAAGAGAATTGCATCATCAGGAAAATTCTCATCTTTTTCTGAGAATAGTAAAGTCTTAAAGCCTTCCCAATCCGTTCCAGCCTCTCCTGGATTCTGACTTGGCTTTAGAGTTAGTGTGGGAGGCTCAGCAGCGTCTTGAAAAGTGCTGCCTGGGGCCTTGAATCCAGCACTCTGATTTGCTTTGTGATCTTGTGGGTGTTCTCATTTCTGTAGAGTGGGGGTGATGCCAACTTCTGAAGCCTATTAGAATTAAATATGGTGATTTGGTGTCTGATAGAGTTTGGCACAGGGTAGGTACTTAAATGGGTGCTTGCCTTCAACCCTATTCTCTTGTTGGGTAGGGGCTAGGGATTTGATGGAGCGCAACATGGCTGTTGTAGTTCACAGCCCATCTCAGACTACAAACAATGGATAGTTAGCGCACAGGATGGTAACTTCAGGAGCACGTTGAGGGGACATCATACCCACTCTGGAGTGTTGGAAGTTTTGGGGAGGAAGTAAGCTGCAGCTTGAAGGATGACTAGGAGTTAACCAAGCAAAGCAGGGATGGGCGTAGCAACAGCAGGCTATGGCAGCAGTAGCAGGGTAGAGGTGTTCCAACCATAGGAATAAATAAGCAAAGATGGGGTGTGCTGCATGTGTGTATATGCGCACTTTGACTTGAGGCCCATGGAGTTCGTTATTAGTCCTTAAATCCAACGTGAAACAGAGACTGCATAAGGGATACCCTGGTACAACTTCAGGGCTTCTCAACAGCATCACTGTTAACATTTTGGCTTGGATAATTCTTTGTTGTGTGGGGCTGCCCTGTGTGCTGTAGGATATTTAGTATCGCCGGCAAACTAGAAACCCATAGCACCTTCTGTGATGACCAGAAATGTTTCCAGACATTACTAAATGTCTGGGGTAGGGGGCTGGGGACACAAAATCATTTCCATTGAAAATACTCCTCTGAGGTTCTGGAACCTATCTGTCTAATTTACATCTCCTAGCACCTGCTCACTTAACACTCTTCAGCTTACTTTGTCTGCAGGTGGCTGAACACTTGCCTGTTAGTAGTGCCTTTCCAAATCCTGCTTAGACTCTCACTCAGATCTGGTAAGAGAGGCACTTTTCACTTTTTTCACTTCCAGGTACATATACCAGCTCAGAGCTGGTGAGCTATAAATCTCACAGATTGGAAGTAAAGAGCTAATTAAAATTGTGGTGCAGTGCTGATAGGGAGAGATTCTAGTAATTCTCATCTAACTCATGCTTCAGTGGTGTTGGTGGCAGTGATGTCTGTTCTTGTCCAAGGCAACATGACAGGAATATAGTTTTTATTTAATAGTTGTGGCATGTGTGTCAGTGTGTGGCAAACATTGACTCAGCATTGTCTGAGTCTGGGCATTTAGAGCAAGTCCTCATGGATGTTTCTCGAAGTGCTTCAAAGTCTTTTCCAACCCATTTGGCTGGGTTTTTGTTTTTTTTTTTATAATCTTCCTACGTTGGGCCTAGATGAGTCCCCTGTTAATGCTTGCTTTCTAGGGAAGTAACTACCATTTAGTTTTTATATCAACTCATCCCACATTCTCTCTCTATTCCCTGTAGTGTGAATAGGACAGATTAAAACAGACTTCTATTGGATTAATTGGAATAATTACCTGAAGGCTAATTGCTTGCTTGTAGCTACTTTTAATCACTGCTGCCTAGTCTGTGGTTGTGGTGGCCATATTCCCAGAGACCAGGCCTTGGCTGCCCATGTGGAAATGACTCAGTCTGTGTATTGCTGGCTGTGGGCATGCAGTGATGAGCTCAGCCTGTGACTCTTGCAGTTAAGAGTTGGTATTGGGTAGAATGGGCACCTCTGTCAGTTCTGAGCTAAGGGGCTGAGTTTGTGCAGCAGGTGAAAAGCAGAATTTAGCTTTTCTGCTTAAAATAGTTGGGGAAGTAGGGCAGATAGGTCCTGGGGCACATCTCTTTGGATCTTTGGATTCCTTGAGAGGGGGAGGTGCCACAGGAGGAAGCCAGGGCAATGTGCTTTCTGGGGCTAGGGGCTTTGGTTGCCCTTGATGCTGCCAGGCCTGACAAGGCAGAGGGCATCAAAGAAAAGGAAGCTGGCAGGTGAGCTATGGTCTTCATCACAAAGCTCTGAACAAACAGAAGATAAGTAGGCCATGAGAATTTCAGATCTGGCTGGCCATTTTAGGCTGGTCAGTTGCTATGTAACTGTCACTGAGATGTGATGTTGGCTATCTAGGGTCATGAGCTCTTCTTTGTAAACCTCTTCCGTGGCAAGGGGCAGCAGAGTTACATACCTGTCCTCTGTTGGAGCCAGTGAGGCCCAGGACAGGGTTGGACCTTATCACCAAAAAAAAAAAAAAAAGACAATAAACTCCCTCAAGGAGAGGGAAGAAAGAAAGGGGGAAAAAAATCATTGTAGCCTAGACACTAAAAGAATTTGATGTCAAACCTGGTTGGAGTTGTAGCACCACCTCTTTAGCTGTTTGACTGAGAGCAGGTTACTTAACCTTTCCTCAGCTGCAAAATGGAACTGTTGATGCCATAGAGTTGTTATAGAAGATTTAAGTCTGTCTTACACACTACTGCAAATTTGAAGTAGCTAAAGATGTAAAGATGTCTCAGGAGATGACTTGCTGTCTGTGCTCATTTATTGTGTATTTGTACCATAATGTGTTCAGATCATCTTCCTTTTAGATTCAGAAAGCCCCAGGACTTCTCATAAGATTAGGCCATATGTCTTCTTGGGCTTGGTAAATAACTTGAGCCTGAGCTTCTAAGTCCAATAGGCCTATCAGTGGTGAGGCAGACTCTGAGGGCTGCCCAGGGCCAGTGGCTTCAGCTGCCTAGAGGCCGTCACCATGAGAGGATCTTGGCCAGTCTCTGTCTCTGGCTTACCCTGAGCAGAGCCCTGGGTAAATGAGAAATGGAGGCCATCTTGGAAATGTTCCTTGACAACTCAATATCCAAGACTGTCATCTAGTGGAAGAGAGATGTACAGACCCTTATAGAAGTTTCAGACTCTTCATTTACCGTAATTGTCTGAGGAAGGGCTTGCTGTGATCTCTGTTTTGCAGATAACAAACAAAGGCTCTGAAGTAGTAGAAAAGTTTAGCTCAGCAAACATTTCTAGTGCTCACTATGTGCAGAGATGAGTAAGGCCTTTGGAGGCTTTTTCTGGTAGGAAAGACACAATTTTCTACAAAGCCAACTACAGTTATAGTAATAGAGAGTTATGGGTAAATGTGGGAGGGCATGGGGATAAACCCAGCCTGGGGGAGTTGGAAAAAGCTTCCCAAAGAGGAGGAGATTGATATGTCAACTTCTTTAAAAGTCACTCTTAAGTATAGAGGTGGGTGACAGGACCAGGCTCTGTCACTTTTGATGCATACTAGTCCCTGTTGCACGGGTGGTAGGGGAGAGCTGAAGGGGCTCAGCCCAGGCAGCATGTAAACAGCATGTAAACAGGCTGACCAGCACAAGGCATTTTTCTCCTTTTGCTTCCCTGTGAAAACAAAAGAGCACCTTTGTTTTCACAGGGAAGGCACTGAGACTCTTCTTCATGCCAAGGGTAGGGCTGCATTTAGGGCATATTAAGTTTCAAGCTGGCAGACAGGGACTTTCAAACAAGTTTCTATGTGGCAAGTTGGCTCCCTAGCAATAAATTACCCTCTTTTGGTCTCTCCTGCACACCTCTGGGAGCTCTGGTGGTGTAGTGCCTAAGGCATTTGACTGCTAACCAGAAGGCTGGTAGTTCAAACCCACCAGCCACTCCTTGGAAGAAAGAGTTGGCAATCTATTTCTGTAGAGATACCTCCTCGGAAACCCAAGGAGGAGTCGCTGTGAGTTGGAATTGACTCAGTGGCAATGAGTTTGGTTTGGTTTGGTTTGCACACCTTCTGCTGAAGTTTGTCTAGGAGCACTTCCCTTGGTCAGAGCTTTGCTTCTCCCTGCTCCAAAGGATCCATGTACTCTATGGAGGGATCAGTAGGCTGTGCCATGGCTGCCAGGAAATTCTAGAAGACCAGTGCTAATGAACCCTCCAGTTGGGGTGAATGCCAAGGTTGTTTCTGTGGGCACGCGCAGTCCTAGCTGTACTAGCCCAAGGCCTGGGTTCAGGGCAGAAACCTAGCATGGTTTTTCTCAGTTCTAGAGCCTTTGGACAGTGGAGGCAGTTAGGCTTTGCCGAAGTCTGGATTTGTCCAGACTTGCATTAAGAGAAGTAGTTCCTTATTGGAGGTGGGAAATAAGGACCCTCATGGTGCCTGTAACCAAGTCAAACAAATTGATAACACTTGTTAACAGTAGGAAAGGTTGCCTATTGCCAAGACACTGAATTCAGGCTTTAAAGATGTGCCTTCAAATGGCTTTGGGAGGGTTGGAATTAGCTCTTTGGGGGAAGTCTTGTGTGTATAAATGGGAATGTCTTGCATTCTAGACCCCTGTTCTCCAGTGTGGAGTGAAAAGAGCACAAGATGAGGCCTAGAGCTCCTAGTCTTGGGAATGGGACCCAGGAGGCCTCTGCTGCTGGCAGGTCCTTAAGGAAAAGCCTAAATCATGTCTAATTGGCAGGCATAGAACCCAAGGCTCTGGCTTACCCCCCGGCTGGTCCGATGTCAAGCACTTACTTAGTAAGTGGGATTGATTTTTGCTAGGCACCCTGACTTACCTATGTAATTCTCAAAACAACTTTGCAATTAGGCTTCCCACTATCCTCTCCAGGGGCCCCACCATGTAGTTATAGATTCTGTGATTCTGCTAGAAGGTAGGAGGCACTGTCCCCTATTAAAATCTTGTGATCTTTAGTAGCCACAAAAACCAAACCCAGCCCACTGCCATTGTGTTGATTGCAACTCAGTAACTCTTTAGGACAGAATAAAACTGCCTCATGGTATTTCTAAAGCTCTAAATCTTTACGGAAGCAGACTGCCTCATCTTTCTCCATGAAGGGGCTAGTGGGTTCAAGCCGCCAGCCTTTTGGGTAGCAGCTGAGTGCTTTAACCACTAGGCCACCAGAGCACCTAGCTACAAAAGAGTACCCAAATTATGAAGCATAACATAATAAACACTCAAAAATGTACTGCTCTCGTTATTACATTGAAGAAATTAAGGTTTAGGCTCAGCACCTTAACTAAGGTCTCAAACTAGTAGGTGACAAAACGGGTTCAAACCCAGATCTCTTCAGCTCCCTGATCACTGTGGTGTGTCTCACTGTGTACTGAAGGATGTTAATAGGTGTTATTTGAGAGAAGTTTTTTGGGTCAGTCCACAATTAAAAGTCAGCAGGTTCTTGTAGTAATTCTCAGATCCTTTAACATACTGATGCTTTTTGAAACTCTCCTATCAATATTTTCCACATTGATCTGATTGTGGGAATTTGTCCATAATCTCTTGTGGAACTCTAAACCCACTGCCATCAAGTTGATTCCAACTCAGTGACCCTCGTTGGGTTTCCAAGGCAGTAAATCTTTAGGAAGTAGATTGCCTTATCTTCCTCCTGTGGAGCAGCTGGTGGGTTTGAATCACTGACCTTCTGATTTGCAGCCAAATGTCTTACCCACTACACCACCAGAGCTCCCTCTTTTGGGACTAGTGTCCATTAAAAACTTTGGTCTAGGAGCAGTGTGGGCAAAAATCCCTAAAATAAAGTTTCTTCCCCCACTCCAGCGGGGCCTCAGGTCAGATTTGCAAAACAAAGGTACTTCACTCTCTGGTCTGTGGTTTTTTAAAAATCTGCTTTTCACTCTTGGATCCAGCTCTTGCCTGTGGTTGGACCAGCATAGCCTTTTGGAGGAGTCCTTTGCAGGCCTGCAACACTCTGACAGTTAAGCTGTGTAGCAGCTCTGGAGAAGGGAGCTGATTAGCAGCCACGTGGAGAAGACTTTGTGGTCTGAGGCAATAGAGAATCCTGAGCAGGTGGTAAAGGCTTGAGAAGGTGCCCACTTCGCACTAGCCCTGTTCCTGGGAGTGTTTCTGGTGGTGTAGAAATGCCTCCATTCAGGAACTTGGTTGTGGGGCTGGGGGGGGGGGGTGTCACTTGGATGTCATAATCTCAGTGAGGAGTTTGCTTCCAGAGTTTCAGATTAGCTGTGAAGAGGACAGTCATCTATCTACATTCGTTGGTCTGTAAGCAGTTTTAGAAATCAAGTTATTTATTGAAAAATAGATGAATATGATGGAAATTCTTAAAATACCCTAAACACAGCTGTCTTCAAAAGTTTGGATCCCCCTAAATGGAGGCTTTTGAAAGCTCTTTTTAGGTAGACAGATTCCATTTTTGAATACTGCAGTCTTACATTATTTTGATGACCCAGTGCTGTTAGCATCTGCCTTGGCTGCCTCTGCAAACTGAAGGGTAGAGGAAGGGAGGAGAAAATGATGAGATACGGTTTTTTCCTAGCTTCTGTCACTCCAGCTGCCTCCAATGGGACTAGAAAGATGTACCCTGTGAAGACCCTTTAAAAAGAGGGGCACTTGGTCTGTTGGAGATTTCTGTTTGGCTTCTGCCTTAAGAGGCCATTAGGTCACCTCATCCTAGGGTTTTCCTTGAATGATACCTGATTACAAGCTTCCCAGTGCTTTGGTTTTTCCCTCCCAAGTAGATCTTTGAACCTCTCAAATCACTATGCCTGTCCCCCTGTAGCAGGGTATGGGGCAGAAAGCAGTCATAAGATCTGGGCCATGTTCCTGCCCCCTTGTACCTAGAACTTCAGTTGCCTGTTTATTCTCCACAATCAAATAATTCTGTGTTTATTTTTAGTGGATATGCTGCTGATGAAATCACTCACTGCATACGGCCTCAGGACATCAAGGAGCGTCGAGCAGTCATCATCCTCAGGAAGTAAGTGCCCCTGGAACCTTCTGCCTTTCCTGTAGGCCTGTCAGCAGATTGAAGTCTGGGTTCCCTTAGAGCTCATAAAAACAACCAAACCAAACTTAACTGCTGTCGAGTCATGTTCGACTCATAGCGACGACCCCTCCTTGGGTTTCCAAGGCGGTATCACTGTGGAAGTAGATTGCCCAATCTTCCTTCCGAAGGGTGGTGGGTTTGAACTGTCAGCCTTCTGGTTAGCAGCCAGATGCCTTAGGCCCTATGCCACCAGAGCTTCTTTAGAGCTCATAGGTTCTCTATATTAATGGCATGGCGAGGTAAAGTCTGAAAGGGAAGGGTGTAAGTTCTATTAGCTTTTTATTTGAGTTCTGTGAAAATAAAACTGCTCTAGCTTTTCAGCAGAAAATTAAGTTTTGTGGTTGTTCAAGGAATTTAGGGCTGACCAAAATCATGTACCCCCACTGTTCATGGCCATAGTCTTGAGATAGGATTTGGGGAACTTGTTTTCCCCCCTAGTTTTTGTTGGGATTTGGGTGAAAGTTTACAGAGAAAATTCACTTTTCATACAGCAGCTCACATACACTTTGTCTCGTGACGTTGACTGTAATTGCCCACAATGCAACAGCTCCCTCCTACTTCCTCCCCATAGTTACCTCTTCCCTGTGTCCTTCCTTCCCATGCACTCCTGCCCCCCGAGCTATCTCCCTGTGTATTCACAGCCCTTCCATTCTCCCATGATTGATCTCTCCAAGGAGTGTATCTACCTAGTGTAAATGTTTACCTCATATGTCTGTCTTTTGTTTGGCTGGAAGGCACAGAAGTGGGTTCAATTCCAAACCTAAAGGGCAGCTAGGGGCTATAGTCTCAGTGGGTCCACCAGTCTCTATCAGACCAGCAAACCTGGTCCCTTTTTCTTTTTTTAAAAAAATGATTTTGAGTTTTTGTTCCATAGTTTTCTCCCAGTCTATTCAGGATCTCTTATATAGATCCCCTTCCGAGTGGTTGACAGCAGTAGCCAGGCACCATCTAGTTCTTCTGGTCTCATAGTCATACAGGCTGAGGATCACATGGTGTACCAGTCACTTGGACTAATTGTTTCCATGTGTCTTTGGTTTTCTTCATTCTTCTTTGCTCTGGACAAGGAGAGACCTATCGCTGCATCTAGATGGCTGCTTGCAAGCTTTTAATATCCTAGTCAGTACTCGCCAAAGTAGGATGTTGAACAGAGTTTTTGTGTAGTATGTTATGCCAGTTGAGCTTGATGTCCCCTGTGACTATGGTCCTGAGCCCACAGGTCTGACTACTCCCTCCCTCTGGGTAGCTGGCTGTGGCCAAGAAGTGACTATAACTTTGTCCCTTGTCAGCCCTACCTGGGAATTCTTATAGAACATACAAATACACTTGTAGAAACATTGTCTGCCAACCCTATACATGGTTATGGGCACACTCCCCCCCTGTATAGACATACCTAATAGTTCAGCCTGTTGGGAAACATTCTTTCAGACACCCCCTACCTTTCCCACCTACTTGGTTCTGATTTGTCATGTGCTTTTACTGATTATTATTAGACTATGCCTTAGCCTGCTTTAAAAATGCCTGGGCATTCTCTTCTGGGAGGAGCAGGGATAGAGAAGAGGAGACAAAGGTGGGATGTTAGAGTGCATCGTGCTCCCCTTCTTCTGATGAGGGAGTTGGAGAGGTATAGACTAACATTGCCAAGCATTTGGCCATTGGGAGCCCTTATTTCCTTCTCATACGTGAGTGGACTAGAATTTGTCCAAGGCCAAAGCCAAGCCAACTTGGGGTTAAGACAAACTTTCCTTTTGAATAGAGTTCCAGAAAGGATAAGTGATTACCTGAAGTTGTAGAGAAGGCCTTGAGCAAATCAAGACTCGAGCTTTTATCAGTATATCATATAGCTTGTTGCCATTTTAATTTAAGTAAACTTGAATTTTTCGAACAGTTTTAAATTTACAGGAAAATTGCAAAGATACTACAAAGGAATTCCCAAATACCCCATACCCAGTTTCCCCTATTATCAGCATCTTCGATTAGTATGGTATGTTTGTCACAATTAATGAACCAATACTGATTCATTGCTTTTAAATAAAGTTCAAATTTATTCAGATTTTACTAGTTTTTTCCTGGTTTCTGTTCCAGCATCTCTTCCAGGATCCCATGTGACATTTAGTCATCATGTCTCCTAGGCTCCTCTTGGCTGTGACAGTTTCTCAGAATTGCCTTCTTTTTGATGATATTGAAAGTTTTGAGGAGTACTCATCAGGTATTTTGCAGACTGTTCCTCGGTTGGAATTTTTCTGGTGTTTTTTTCATGGTTAGACTAGAATTCCAGGTTTCTGGAAGACTTTTGAGATTCAGTGCCATTCTTATCACATCATATCAAGGATAGATACTATCAGCATAACTTATCACTATTGATGCTGACCTTGATCACCTGGCTGAGGTTGTGTTTGTCAAGTTTTTCCTACTATAGGGTTACTGTTCTGCTCTGCGGCACCCCCTTCTCCTTCTATACTTTGCTCTTTGGAAGGAAGTCACTGTGTACAGCCAGTATTTAAAGAATGGAAGAGTTAAGCTCTACCTCTTTGAGGCTATAATTCCAAAATTGCCAATTTTTTCTCCTGTGGAGTGGCTGGTAGGTTCAAACCACTGACCTTTTGGTTAGCAGCTAAGCACTTAACCACTGCACCACCAGGGCTCCTTCAGTGTTAACTAGCTCCCCAAAATTGTTTGTAATTCTTCTGTCTTGGAGATTTGTCTTGTTTGTCTGCACTACTTATTTATGTAGTCAATCACTTACATCAGTGTGAATTTTTGGACATTTGTATTTAGGGTTAGGATCTCTGGTGGCGTAGTGCCTAAGGCATTTGACTGCTAACCAGAGGGCTGGTGGTTCAAACCCACCAGCCACTCCTTGAAAGGAAGATTGGGTAATCTACTTCCATAGTGATACCACCTTGGAACCCAAGGACGGGTAGCTGTGAGTCGTATATAACACAACGGCAGTGAGTTTGGGTTTTTTTGGTTGTTTGTTTTTTTAATACTTAGCCTTATGATCAATTCTGCTTTATTTTTGTTTATTGAAATGTTCCAGCTTTGGTCATTGGAAGTTCTGTTGGCTCCTGTGTCCCTTTGACATACCTGCATCACTGTGGTAGGGGCTTCTTTGGTTTTGTTTTGTTTTTTTTGTACTTCCTTACTTTCTACTTGCCATCTTTTTATATTCCAAAATATTGTGGTCTCTTTGGTGTGGCTCTGACACTTTGTCAAGTCAAAACTTAGAGTATCTCTATTATCATCAGTAGAATGAAGGTGATCCAGACCTGTGGGACAGTCTTAGCAGTTCAAGGGGTATGAACAGAGCTCTGGCACAACACATACTGGGATCTACAGACAGTTGGGTCGACTAGGCAAGCCACACCCTCTCCTTTAGCTTATGAATATTCAGACTTGACCAGAGGACAAATTTTACCTGTTTTCCCACTTTCTCTTCCTCTGGTTCCCAGTACAGGACAGAACCCAGAAGTTTGTGAAGTCCTAGAATGTAGTATTCTTGTACTCTGATTCCTCCTCCGAAGTCATTTCTTCTTGGGTTGTATATGAAACCTTCTATTGAAGCCAGGGACAGATGATGACCTGCCGAGGCAGGAACCTGGAGAAAACCTCCTGAGTTACATAGACCCAGAAAAATAGCTTACTCTATGGGATTCTTAAGGCACTCTGGTGGTATAACGCCTAAGGCATTTGACTGTTAACGAGAAGGTTGGTGGTTCAAACCCACCAGCTACTCTGTGGAAGGAAGATGGAGCAATCTACTTCTGGAATCTACTTTTACCTTGGAAACCCAGTGGGTGTTGCTATGGGACAGAATAGACTCGATGACAGTGAGTTTGGTTTTTTGTTTTATGGGACTCTTAGCTGAAGGTATGAATGGAGGTGGCCATAGCCAGAGTATCAGGTCAGTCTTTTAGCATCTTCCTTCCTCCTGAACGGTGCCTCCCATATGTGGTTGCCCAGACTAGCTGAGTTGGATGCTGGGTCTGTACCGTTAACTCAAACCCATTGCCCAAACCCTTTGGTTCTGATTCTGAATGACCTATAGGACAGAATAGAATTGCCCACAGGGTTTCCAAGGCTATAATTCTAAGACTGCCAAATTTTTCTCCTGTAGAGTGGCTGGTAGGTTCAAATCACTGACCTTTTGGTTACCAGCTAAGCACTCAACTGCTACACCACCAGGGCTCCTTCACTGTTAACTAGCTCCCCCAAATCTCTGTCCTCCTAGGCTCGTGGCAGTGGCCTAACCTCAGCAGGAAATGGCTGTTGTGAGTGACTAAGGTTCTTTGACCTTTGACTTAAGTGGGCCCAGGGACCAACTGGGGACTAGATTGGAGGAACTGAAGCATAGGAATGAGGGCCTGGAGGGGAGTGTGACGTTGTCCTCCACCTTCCCCAGGCAGCTGAGCTAGGAAAGTGCCCAGTGGGAGGGAGCCAACCATGGGACTATAATAGAGCCATGGGCGTCTCTGGTGCCTGCAGGGTAAAGTCCAAGGCCCCTCATTGAGCTTTTGAGAGCCTTGCTTGTCTGCCAAGCCTAGTCTCAGTATTTTCTCCTTCACCTTCTACTCCTGTAGCTTCCAGTCTATGATCCAGAGACTAGTGCCCTGGAACACTCTGCAGCAGTGTGGCCTCTGTTGACAACACCTTCTCTCATTTCTGATCTTTTCCACCACCCAGATGGTCACATATATGCACTGAATGTTGTTGACCTAACCATCCTTCAAGGCTTCACGAAGCATTATAAATATACTTGTCTTTCTCTCAGCACCCCTTTGTGTAGTCTCTTGCAGCCCACACACTTGTCATTGTGAATTTCCAAGTCTACATTCTGTGGGAGCAGGGAGATCGTTGTTCATCTCGGACCCAGCGTGCCTTCCAGCCCAGGGAAGGCATCGGTCCCTGAGGGAGCAGCTCCAGAGTAGTTGCAG